TTAATCTTCAAAGAATCATAAATCTAAAAAAAAAAAAAAAAAAAATGCTTAAACCAGCCTAGGCTGGTTTACTGGTCTAAGCCAGTTTAGGATTATCCTGGCCAAGATGGTGTTTAGCTGGTTTATCTTGTTGATTGAAAGGTGCACCTCAAAAACCAGCCAACAGACCAGGTTGGTTAATGTTCTTAAGAAAACCTAGAAAAGTATAGAACCCCATTGAGTGAAAATGATGAAGAGGTGAGGAACATTTACTTTTTAAGAGTATAGAGAAAGCAAAAGTTATTCATAAATTTGGTCTACCTTGAATTCAGGCAGTTGTTTATATCCATTGTCCTCAACCTTCAATTGTATTTCCACACTAGCTTTAAAGATCAAAGTCAAGGAGATCTCCTACATGAATGGCGACACCAAAATCATTCCAGAAACCAAGAGCAAGACTATCTACAAGCTGAATGGTGGTGTTACTGATCGTGACTTCAGGAAGATGGTGCTTTGGCTGAAAGATGGTCTTCAGTGTGTGTGTGATGAAATGAATGACATCAATGCCGCTTATCTGGTGATGGGCCAGAAGATGGATGGAAATTTGGTCATCACGTCATTGAAGCGCTGGCAGAAGGGTCAGCGGGAATTTAAGAGAATTTCTCGTAGTATTCGCAAGCTTCAGTGCTAGGATTGTCCACTGCTCAGAGCACTCAAATGGTCTTGAAAATGAAGACCTGTAACAGTCACACCATATGTAAATGCAAAGGTTCATTTAAAACCCAAATGTCTGCTTTTCCTGGCCAGTCAGAGCTCAGGATTGGTGGAGCTGTCACTTGTAACTGCCAAAAAGTACCTAACCTAGATTCATTTTCCCTCATAAGTTTTGTCAGTTAACAGCACCTGTCATTTTTACTATTCACAAAACTCATTCCTCTCTTCTAACATTTTTGACTATAGAGCCTCAAAACTGCCACAGAACAATTTTCTGACAGATGTTTTAGCATAAAATCTTCTAGCATAAAATGTATGTATGTGGACACCCCTTCTAGTCCCTTAACGAGTTCTGCCATTATTTCCAGTGAAAACAAGTTTAAAAAGGATCTCACCCAAAAAGGAGAATTATATTGTCATTTACTCACCCTTGTGTCATTCCAAACGCACAAAACGTCTTTCAAACACAAATGAAGACATTTTTATGAAACATGAGAGATTTCTGTTCCTCTATTGAAAGTCCACGCCACCAAAACTTTGATGCTTAAAAAAGTTCATAAAGACATTGTAAAAGTAATTCATATGAATTGAACAGTTTAATCCAAGGCTTCTAAGAGACCCAGTCACTTTAGATGATGAACAGATTTAATTTAGGCATTTATTCATATAAACATTCATCAATCCATATGCATAGAGCACATAAAATATGGTAAATGAAAGCTTAAATAGTCCTGCTTGATTCACAGCAACCAACGTTTGTTTTTGTGTGTCATGTTTGAGCTTCTGCAAAAACCAATGAGATTTGTTTTTGTACGTCAAGCAAGTAGTTGAGCAAGTAGTTGACTTTAAAAGGAACAGATCACTCAGGTTTCATTAAACATGTCTTCATTTGTGTTTCAAAGGTGAAGAAAAGTCAGATTTGGAATGACATTAATTTTAAATTTTGGGTGAACCATCCCAATGTCATTGTAGAGAATTCTGTGCTTTGTTTCAGGAGTTTGGGAAGGGTCCTTTTCTGTTTCTGAATGACAATACCCCTGTACACAAAACAACGTTCAAGTATAATTGATTTACTGAGTCTGATGTGGAAGAATTTGACCGGCCTGCCCAAAACCCAGAAACAAACCCTATTGAATATCTTTATGATTACCTCTGTTGCAACAAACAAGTTAAAATCACACAATTTTCTAGAATGCCATTGTATGCCAGTACATTAATTGTCCTCACATAAATTACTGGAATAATCAGACCCATTAATAAGAAAGGGGGTCACATATTTAGGAAATATTTGCATGTGAGAAGTTGAAATGGTAGGTATGAAAATTTCAAGGAAGTAAGATGAAATGCATGCCATTCCTCTATCAAATGTGGTTAGGAAACATGTTTTCTAGCAATGCATGGTCTATGTGGATTTGAATCTGCCACAGTAAATAAGTGAGAGGGCTTGTGTGAGTAGTTTTGCTTTAAATACTTTTATCAGCACAATGAGATAGCTGGCTCTATTCTCAATGTTTAAAAATATCCCATGTGACACTAGCGTCTGAAGTATGATCATGTATGTTTATGTGAATATTTTAATTTCTCCACAGACAATGATGAGTAGGCCAACAAATGTATGGTTTCTTTAGCCCAGGGTTTTTGTCTTCTTTCTACTTGAGCCTAAATACTGCACTGTTCCTGTATTATGTTCTTTAAATTACAATCAGCAGTTTTATATAGTATTGGTTTATTTTCTTTCTGTGTCAGTTATATTAATAATGTTGTACTGTATGGGTCTGTGTTTTGTTTTGCTCGCAAAGTTGTTTGCTGTTTTCTTTTGTTTTGGCATATGAATACCCAATATTAGAGTAAAGTCACATGCTGGTAAAACCACAGAGACATGCTTCTCTATGTGCTGCACAGTTAGAGCAATGTTGACTCAGTTTTATTGTGCAGTTGGTTAGTGAAAAACATCTCAAGATAATATCCAAACTTTTGTGATACTCTGTAAATATTCAAATTTTTATGCTTGTACATAGTTTCAAAGCCTGTTCCATTTCACGTGTTCGTCACAGTAGCAATATGTTGTCATTTCATTAGTGTTAAATGCATTTATTTACACCCACCGCCATGTAATGTAATTTGATCATTGATGATTTGTATCATTTTTCTTCAGCTGGCACACAATACATAATAAGTGCAAATAAATTTCAAAATAAAATCATAGGTTTTTGTTTTTAACAATATGTACACAAAGATTGTTTGACTTTGGATTACATTATAGTTTTCTATTGCTAACTAACAGTAAACAGACTGTCAGAAGGTTGCAGGTATTTGTATACGTTAAAAGAAACAAGAAATAACAAATTACTGTAAATTACTTTAAAGCCTTAAATCTATTCTTTGAATCATTTGTAATTATTTTTTTATTTAAAAAAAAAAGAAAAAAGAAAAAAAGAAAAGGTTGCCGGTATGTGTGGTCTTTAGTTCCCCCTAGTGGAGGGCTATGAATTCAGAAATGATAAAATGCATTTTAGCCAACAAAATTATATTAAAATTTACATTTTAACAATGATAAAATAACAATGAAATGTAACAGGCAATTTTAACTCAAGTCAAAAGTCAATTCAAAGTTCGTCACTGGCCTATTGGTTTGGCAAAGAACTGGTTTGGTGTTCTTTGCCCCAGAGAGTAGGCTAATATTAGATTTATTTATTTTTTTAGTCATCAATTTAACGACAACATTGAAGTTATTTTGGAGTAAACGTAAAGCTAATGTACCCATTGTCTCTTCTGAAGACAGGTGTATAAGAGTTTGTGCAATGAGAATTTTTTTATTTATTTATTATTATTATTCATGATTCAAGAACCATTTCATCAATGATTTAAAATTTATATTTGAATCGTATTTACCTTTAATTTAATTACGGCATTTAAACCTAAACGAAAATGAAAAATGCTGCCTTCGACTAACTGAAACAAAATAAGTTAAAGTCATAAAAATATAAAGCTAATAAAAAGACAGAAGCACATAAAATAACTAAAACGTAAAAAAAATAAAAATAAATAACAACATAAAGTATTGTAAAAACAAGCAAATTCAAAATATTAATAAATAGGCTGATTTGATTTAGATTGATATTGTTGGTTCTGTAGTTACTGTATGATGCTGTATTATTGTTTATCGATGTTGGCATTGTTGGTTTGACCACTAGGAGACAGACATGCTGTGGCTCCAGTATATCTACTGACACACACGTCCTCTTCCGGGTGTGTTTGAAAAGACTTTCACTGAGCTGTGGAGGGATTCGCTGTGTATCGAATGATACACACAGCAACTCAAACTCAAGCCAAGACCATTTTTATGAAAAGAGCTGTGCAACAAGAAAGAGAACAGTTGTAATCTGTGTGCAGGTGAGTGCTGCTGAACAATCAACTGTTGCTTCGGTGTTCATGTATGTGTGATGGCAGGCATGATGGCTTCAGTATGCAGGGTTGATCCTCTGCCTCCCCTGCCACTGGGAAAAGTGACTAAAGGAAATTCAGTCAGGCTGTCAGACAGAATAACAGACTGTCGACTTACTGTCTATTCTGTTCTGATCGTTTCACGCCTTAGATGAAGAGAAGAATATTGGCAAAAAATCTGAATGTCACCCACTCATAATTTTGCTTTCAATTGTGTTCATGCGTAATGAAGGTCGCATCATTGATATAAAAGCGGTATAGAGCGTGAAATTGCAGATTTATTGCGTTTTGTAACGCATAACTCGACTGAAGTGCTTCAGGCAAAGGAAGTAACTCTATCGCAACTTTGTGACGTGCGGGCGCAACAATGAGACAACACTGAGAGATTGGATTCCAGGAAGGAATAAGACAATATAATTAAACAATACAAACTGTTTATAAAGACGGTGGTTTTTAATATACACTTTGTATTGCTTTGGGTTTGTACGTGTTGTTCCGTCGCTTAACAATGAAAAGTAAAAAAAAAAAAAAACGTTTACGTGTCCATGACGCGAATGAACGAATCCTACTATGGGAAAGGGTTAGTTTATGAATATTAATTAGGTCATGTGACTGGGCGTTCAAATGAAGAGTACAAAGCGTGACCTAAGTAAAATATTCGTGTGCGAAGCCTTGGCCGTAATAGGTTTCATAATTTTATTGTCCATGGCTTCTTTTTTTTTTCTTTTTTTTAAAGGAAAAGTGGCCTTCTTCCTGCGATTGTCTATGGCCTGTATTTTCTCTCCTTCTATTAAAACTAAATAGGCTAAATCCATAAACTTTATGAATATTTTATTCCAGTTATTGACCGAATTACAGATATTTACGAATGAAAGTATCACAATTTACACACACATACAATTTCCTTGTACAAGATGGTTTAACAATCTTCAAAACTAGGACACATTTTCATTACATGCAATAAATTTACGTAATTTGACAGTGTAAATGTTACTGATGAGGCAGCATAATAAAAAATATGGAGTTGCTTTTGGCATTGAAATTATAATTTTTGGAATTGTTATTTGCTCTATATGAAAATGTGTAGAGCTCAATAATTAAATGACATTTGAGTCTTGGTTTGTAGAAAACATATCACCGTGTGTAACTGGAGCTTTATTATACAAACCTATAATCCCAGTTTCTAGGTTAACTCAACTCTTACTGATACATGAGCATCATGGGAGAGTCTCTGTGTGCAAAGACATAAAGACATAGATTTCATTATTCATTAGCTGCATGTTAGCTCATCATAAAAGAGTTTGGCTAATTCTTCTCCTATGAGTATGTTTTGCTTTATAAGTAACTATTTCCTTATTTAACCATAAACATTTTGAAGGTGAGTAGTGTAGGTGGTGTAGATAGTGAAGACTGATGTACAAAGTGCTGCAAATTTAGTGAGCTGAAGCATTTATTTCCTGTATAGGCCTGAATTCGAATTCCTTTGTGTAAAGGAATGCAGGATGCAGTCTAAAGTTTATACGAAGGATTGTATATGAGTTTCTGTCAAACAGTATTAACTAAAAGACAAATAAAACTAACATTCGGTCAGAAAGAATGTGCCTGTTCTGATTTACTAACCCATTTTTTGCAAGCTCTTTCATTGAAAATTTCAGCTGTCATTGGTTCCTGGGTATTGACTTGTAACAAATACAGCTTGTTTGTACCATGATTATTAGATGTTCGTTCCATGATGTAGCCTACAGCATAATGCCAGAATCCCTTCCTGAGACTTCAGCCTCAATAGAATTGAGTGACATGCATAAACATTTACTTGAATTCAGCACAAGAAGGAAACAATCTTGGTCAGTTGCTCACATGTATGTTTACTTTCAGGAATGTCAGAAGCTAGTTTTGACTCTGGGAAGAATGCCTCACAGGATAATCAATCGGACCCTAATGAACAGGGCCCTCAAAATACTGCTGACTATGTGAGTCAATCAGAGGCCAGAAAAAACAACCTGGATGAAGCACACATGACTGAAATTGACATCAGTGAGGACAAGGAAGTTGGAAACCACAATTATACTCACAGTGAGGATGAGGATGGTGGTGATGAAGATGGGGATTCTCAGGCCCAGAGTAAAACTAGTGGAATAATTCGGGATAATGCTGATTCTGAAACAACAAGCAGTGTGGCAACAGAAGCTGATGTGAAGGTGACCGTAATGATATAGTGAGACCTGTAGCTTGGCTTATGCTTGATCTCGCTCATACACGTTGCTGTGATTTCAGCCATTTTTTTTCAGATTTTTATTTTAGGTAAATATAATCAGCCAAGTTATCTGTGAATTTAAAAAAAAGCTAGACCTCTGCCTGAATGCTACAGCATTATGAGGCACATATCTTTAATTCTATGTCTTTGTGAGGTGTCCTTTATTTATTTTTTATTTTTTTAAGGTGATGGCGCATTTCTTTAGCATATTCTGGTCAATTTTGCTTGACTGTTGCTGTTATTACTGCATTTAAATAATAATACTTTTTTATGCTCTTTAGTTTGCTGTCTTGTTATTGCTGTGCATGATGCACATTACACACTTTTTATATATAATTACATTATATATTTGTATTTTCCACCACATTATGACATTTATTTTTATACAGTATAAATAACAACCACTTATTGGTCATCAGCCATAACATGAAAATAATTATCAATTTCTTTTCAATTCTAATTACTTATCAATAATTATCTCAACGAAGTATATAGATAATTCGTTTGACCAGTATTTTAGTATATCATGTATTTTTATTTGCTGCAACATTTGCTGTTTTTTTCTAGTTTGTCATTGTAGTTTTTCACCAAATTAATTTTTTCAATTGCAAACACACCATGTAATCACTCTGCTGATATGGCACAAAAACTATATATATGTATACTTTTTTTTACACAACAGGACACTTCTAACACTGCATTACATTTCTTGTCAACTGTATGCACTTTTCGTCTTAGCTTGTCTTAACTCAGTACTGCACTTTTATCTACAGTATTAGCATGATTCAAATTGTTCTACAGCCTGTCCTGATAAGGGAGTGTTTACTTGATGCTTTATCTGGTTAAAAGTCTTTCCTTTTCTTCTGGTAACTAAGAGGTTTGTTTAAGAAACCCATCTTTCGTTTTCTTTGAGCATTTATTAGATTCATGATTACAGCCCTTCAGAATGTCTGATTAGATTGCAGTTGTTTCTGTTGGTCTCTTTGTTAATGTCTCTAAGCAACTGAACTCTAGGGAACTCTTCTGCAGGGCTTAACCGAGGCACTGCTCATCAATGCCGCTTTAATCATCGAATCTGGTGGTGACAGACTG